AACAGTTTCAGAATATACAAAATACAAGTCGATGGACCTACCTCCCTCAGTTATTAGTAGAACAGGCAAAAAATAAAATAAAATCAGTTAAGGATATGAAAGATTTGAACACAATAAGGCAACTCGACCTAACTTAGAGATATAAAACACTACAGCCAAGACTGCAAAATAGAGATTTTTTCTCACAAAAGTGGACGGCAGGGACAACAAAGGTACAGCAGAAGGCAATTAAATTGAAACAGAAAAGCTGTTTTAATGCAATGAATGCATATACTCGTACTTTAAAAATATCAATCGAGGAGATAAACGCCTAACGAGATTTGCCAGATCGGGATGAGAAGATGCAAATGATCGATATGGTGAGGAAAGAGGTGACATCACTACCTACCCAACATGCAGTGAAAGGGCAATAAGGCACCTCCATGCACAGATGTAACAACTGAGATAAATGCAGCAATTTCAGGAAAACCACCAACTACAGTCTGTTTCTTCTAAAGATAAATATAAACTTACCATATGGCCCAGTCATCTCACTCCTAGGAAGATTCGTACATGAGCGTTTCTAGCGGCATTACTCACAGCCATCAAAAAATGAAACGACCCAAACGTCCTTCGTGGGTAAGTGGATAAAGAAACGTGGTGCTTCTACACAACGGAACACTACTTGGCGATACAAAGAAATGAAGTATGGTCAATCTCAAAGGTTGTGCTGAGTGAAGGAAGTTGGTCTCAAAAAGTTACTCAGCATGTGACTCCATTTATATGACATTCTCAAAGAAACGGAACTCGTTACGCAGGACACATGGATGGTTTCCGGGCGTTAGTGCTCGTTGAAACATGTAACCAGGGCATAGAACAAGGGAATATTTGGCACAATGGAATTATTCTGTATTCTAATTTTGGTGGTGTTGATTAAACAAATGTATGGATTTTTAAATATTTTTCAGGTTTATCGAGATATAATTGACATACAACATTGTATAAATTTCAGAGGCATGTGTTGATTTGATACACTTATATGTTGCAAAAATGATTGCTACCAAAGCTAACACCTCCATCATGTCACATAATTACCGTTCCTTTCCTTGTGGTGAGAACATTTTAGATATATTCTCTTAGCAACTACCAAGTATATGATACTGCATTATCTATATATTTTTAAAATTCACCCAACTGTATGACAGAAAAATACATGGTACTATATGATCATTTAAAAACAAAATTAACCAGTGGAAATATTCAGTAAGATCTTTGAGATACTGGGATACACAAAGATTTCATAATTGGGATAGAAAGAGCATGCCCATAACTTATCTGACCCTGTGTCTCTGGTGCTCCCGGTCCTCCCTATAAAGGTGCGGATGTGGGTGCATTTCCTCTCGCCTGCCATGGCGGGCTGCCTCGGTTCCTGACTCATCTCCACCTGAGCCGCCTACCCACCCACTGCTCATCCTTCCAACCTCAGCTCAGCCCCCTCCCTTCTGCGGCCGGGCCCTATGTTGACCTTGGTGGTGGAAGCAGGGTGGGTATGTATAGAAACATTCATCTAGTCGCTTTGCATATATGACTCAATTGAAGTTAGACATCCAAAAACAATAAACAAAAACCCTTAGCTGAAACAGATTCAACAAAAAAGAATAGAAGATTCAGATTTAATTTGCCTCTAGAAACTCTCGCAGACGCTAAATAGTAAAATCGATTTCTTTCTTATGTTAATTGGTGAAACTTTTATTATTTATTTATAAGTAAATGTTGGGATATTTTTATCACAATCAGTACGAGGTAGGTGCCTTTCAGCCGGGAAAGAAGACCCGTGCTCCTTATTGTACTGTGTATCGATGTCTATACTGACAGGGAAGTTTGGGAGACCGGACACTCAGGTGTTAACCAGGTAATTTCTGGGGAACAGAAGGATAAGGCCTCAAGTTCATTCTCTCCCTGGGTGTGGGGATGGAGAGAGAGGAGCAAGGTGGTGGCGAGGGAGGCGGGGCAGGACCAAAACAGAGAAAGATGGTAACTCGAATAGGAGAGGCACGGGCAGAAACGAGGGGCAGTCAGTGAAGGCGCGTGTTACTTGTGTTTTATTTTCTGTATCTTATGATGTTTTGACATCTTACAAATCTTGCTGTCCAGGGAGCGACAGCCCCCCTCCCAAGGTCTAGCCCATTCTTAGCAGCAGCAAAGGGCTCAGCCAGTAACAGCCTTTCAGGGGCAAAACAACCAATCCTGAGCCCATATTCCCTGACCGCCCCCTTTACCTAACTCACACCCCCAGCAGCCCTAAATCATCTGAGACCAGGAACCAGACAACTAGAGACCACCCACACGGGCCATTGACCCCCAGAATTATTTCAACCAGCCAATCCTCAACTGTTTGCCCCGCCCTACCTTGTATTTCCCATAGAAATCCCGATAGAGCCTTGTATTAGGCCTTCCCCTCACCTGCTCTGCCTCGTGACCAATCCAGGCACTCCGCCATGGCGATGCCTGGCCTGGTAGGGCCTCGCCTCTCAGGAAATATAAGTCATAAAAACCTTCTTTCAATAAAATTGACTCTCGAGTCATCACGCTGTCTCCTCCACAAATTATAATCCCATGAGTACAACTGAGACAGGGTGTGAGTCAAGAGCTCCCAGGGAGAAGCCGATATCGATGTCTCATGTCTGTCCCTCTGGGCTCCTCCTTGAGAAGGAGGGAGGCGCAGTCAGGATCTCGGCCCTGTTCTCTGGGCATCTCCACACCTGCAGAACCAGCACAGCATCAGCTCAGAGTCTGCTGGCCGCTGTAACTGTAACTCCAGGCACCGGGGACAGCTCAGCCCCACCTGGAACCCAGGGGCCAAGAGCCAGACTTCTCTGGAGAGGGCAGACCTGCTCACCTGGTGTAGTAGATCCAGGTGAGGCCATAAGTGAGGAGGAAGCCAGCCCCCATGAGGGACCCTCTGATCACGGTGAGGACCACGGGCCAGGAGCCCTGCTGCTCCTCAGGCACGCATCTGCAGGAACTGGGGCTTCCTGGGGAAGAGGAGAGGCTGGTGAAGTCATGTACCCAGGGACCAGTCCCTCTTGTGGCCCCAACGCCTGACCAGGGTGCCCTCCCCCAGCACCTGTCTCAACTCACTCTGCACAAAGAGGCTGAGGGAAATGTTTTGGGAGCCCAGCGGGTGCTGAGCCCAGCAGGTGAACTCTCCTCCGTCTGCAGCTCCTACGTGAGGCAGCTCCAGGACCCCTGGTGCGGAGGGCTGGGAGGGGCTCAGGGCTTTTCCGTCCTGGAACCAGCTCAGTGTGGCAGGGGGGTTGCTGTCAGCCTCGCAGACCAGGCACAGGAACTGGCCTTCCGGGACAAGCAGTGGCAAGTGGCTGCTCAAGGTCTTCAGGGCTGGGTGGGAGGTACACGGCAGGTGGGTTAAGGGGCAGTGACCCTGGCGGTCAGGTCAGGCTACCAGAAGGAAGGGGGCTGAGCTGAGTTGGGACAGTTGAGAATCTGCGGGCAGCTCGGGTGATGTGCCAGGAACTGAGGCAGGGGTCCCGGGGAG